ARSMWTTTWWKKGSMWTKMYTTKKTTTAATTCACAKAACAGMTGAGGAAACCACAGAGAGGTAAAATAACATGAAGCCATATAGCTAGCAGGGACAGAAGTGGAATTCAAACCCAGACAGTTACTCCAGAGCTGACATTTGTACTACCACTGTCTACAGCTTCCAGGCCCCATTTGGACRTAAGAGRCCTTGTGAGTCARTGAGTGAGGAGTGCARGTGGCTGSAGATGGCRTTTTCCWTTAGAAGTGTGTGCCTGGAAACCTGTGCCATGTAGTCACCAGATTCCAAGAACAGACACCCAGCTGTCTGCTACACACAGGGTGTTTAGTCATCTTGGGGTAGAGAAGCATCATGTGGGCATCTCGTTCTCTTCCTGGTTGGGCTGTTTCCTCCCCACACATGTTGCCTGTTGCCTCACTGCAGGAGGGAGCTGTCTCACTTTCCCTAGCTCAGTCATTATCATCCTCAGGCTGAGGGCTTCCTCCCTGTGTGCAGGCCCATGACCATCTCCCGGATGGCTTTCTTTGCAGCCCTCAGCTGTGCACACGAAGGAGGTTATGTAATGGGATGGTGCAGAAGTTAAGACAATRATGAGAAGAAATTAGAAGTGAAGGRCAGGAAGCCTGTAGTGTCTAGAAWGAARGTASAATGTGTTATGTGTGCCTACCCCTTGCAGTGATGTKGCTCTGCTTTGTTTTCTTGGTCTTGCACACTGGTGTTTAAATGGGGCCTGGTGCTCTTTACCATTGCTGCTTCTTGAGAGGTACCGGCTGCTTTGTCCCTTCATAAAGGTAGGCACCCACAAGAGACAGTGTTGTTCTGCCCAGTGATCACTGGTCTCCTGGGCCCTGACTTTTGTTAGGTGTTTCAAGCCAATAGATTGTAAGGCAACTATCTAATTCTTTGGAGCTAATTGACCCTGGGCTCCTTTTCTCCTCTATGATGGGTGTAGTCCATTCTGTCCTGTTTCTAGGATGGTTTGGAGATAGGGGCAAGGAGGAGAGGCCGAGAAGACACCCTGGGCTGGGCTCTACAGTCCTTCTGCCAGCATCCTCATTTACACTGAGAGAATCTCAAAGACAACTCTAGGCTAGAAAGCAGGAGTCCTTGAGCTACCTCCACTAGTGCTGTAAGCCACACACAATTTGGGGATGGAGGATCATTTCCAAGGATTTCTGCCTTTGGTTTCTTTTTCTCCAGGTGCCCCAGGCAAATATGTCCTTACTGCTTCCTCATCCTCCCCAGGCTCTGGCCAGCTGGGCTGTGCCTTCACTTGTCTGCTTGTTCCTTTTCCAGTGAAAGATTTCTTTTTCTGTTATTATTGCTGCTAYTCTACTTAAATACAAWACCCATCCCTGATCAGTACAGAAAAAGTGGATAGGCAAAAAAGAACATGAAAAGCACCACCATCTACCCAAAGAGAACCACGACCAACACCTTGATGTATATCTTTCTGAGGCCATCTGGATCTTTCTCATTGTATATGTGTGTTTTCCAGCTTAAAAAAAATCCTTAGCCATTACCCATGTTGGCAGATACATTTCTTTACCATTGTTTTAAAACTTTAGAGAATGTAGTCAGTAAAAGCAACTTACACTTGTGCAAACAGTACATACATAAAAGAGCAAAGTCCATCTTCTAGGCCCTCTCTTTGAAGAGGACAAAGGGAATATATTAGGTAGCCATATAAAATTTGTATATCATGATTTTTTTTAACTGACATAAATAGAATCATTCTGTACTCATTGTGTTTTTGTTTGACTAAAAACAAAGTCTTGGAATTGTTTCCAGATCCTTGTGGATGGCTGTATCTTATTATAATTTTTTATCTGCTGTATCATGTGGATGAAGTATAATTTATTTAACTAGTCCTCTGTCGATGGACACTAATGTTTTCAATTTTTTCTTATAGAAAATGCTTCAGTGAGAATTCTTATGATAATTTGGAATATGTTTGCTAGTACTCCTGTAGGGATGCCGCTTTGATACTATTGATTGTTGGACCAAAGAGAATGTGCATTTTTAAACATTCTGATGGAGTTGGGGATGTATTCAGTTTAGAACACTTAGCTGGCATGCACAGCACCCTGGGTTCCATCCCTGGCACCACATAAATGAATGAATTTATAGGTATTGCCAAATTTCTCTCTCAGTAAAACAAAGGAACCTTATTTTTAAGGCCAGTTCTGGCTTTCTGAGAAGTCTTCAGCCTCCCTGGTGAGAGCAGGACTTTGGGAGGGGGCTGGAGCACCTTTGTTTCTCCAGGAGGCTGTTTAGGTCCCTGACTCCTGAAGTCCCTTCTACTTCCTGTAAATCTGGTTTCCCTCTTAGAGTGATACCCCTGGGTTTTTACTATGATATTTGTTCTGTGGTGGAAAAGAGTGGGGCCCACATTTAGAGGCTGCCTGTTCAGATTCCTGCTCCCAAGTGACACTCTCCCAGTCCTCCTGTGTAGCTGGTAGCTGGGAAAGGGACCCTAGTRTCTTATGCAGCCTATTTCTTATATATCATTATTATTGTTTCCAATGACTGCTTAATTTTTAACCTCAGAGGCCAGGGCCCAGGTTTATGGGGACTTTGTTATTTGGCCATGCACCGGGCTGTCAGCAGAGCTGGTGGGGAGGATGTTAATGAGACTTCATTAAAGAGATGGCAATAAAAATTCTTTGAACATGTTGTTTACATCAGTCTGCCAAAGTTGAGCTGAAACCCTCCAGCCACAGGATGGAAAAGCCATTGGATTTCACGTGCTCATGGAGAGAAATGGGCTCCTCCCCCACCAAATTGATTGAGTCATTTGAGACCTTGGAATGAAGTAATTAAATTAAGGGCTGTAGGAAGGTTTGGCAAAGCATTTAAAAGTCATTGACCTCTGACTCAGTGAAGAACTTCTTATAAAACTGCTGCCTCCAGCT